CATTCCTATATTTTTTTTTTTTTTTTGTTTAGTCATTTTAGCGCTTCAACTTATTTTGTTTCAATATTTCTGTTTTTGTTTGTTTTTTATTTTTTTATACTTTTCATGTAATATTTATATTTTATTTTGTGTGTTTATTTTTATATTTCTATTAGTGCTATCAAACGATTAATCGCGTTTAATTGTTTCCAAAATAAAAGTTTTCATAATATGTGTGTGCTGTGTATATTTATTGCGTATATATAAATACACACACATGCATGTATATATTTCAGAAGCATGTATATATTTCATGTTATTTTATATATTAAATATATTTATTTATAATATAAATTATATGAATATAAATATAGACATGTAAATACATGTAAATATTTTCTAAATATATACTTTATGTGTGTGTATTTATATATACATAATAAATACAGAACACACACATATATTATGTAAACAAAATCTTTTATTTTGGATGCGATTAATCACGATTAATCGTTTGACAGCACTAATATATATATATATTGAAAATAATAATATTAATTGGAAGGAATCTAGATCAACATAATGAAAGGAAGAGTCTATACAAAGTACAAAGCGATCTGCACTGAAAAAAATAGTATAGTATTTATTTTTAAATACTTTATATTCAGAAATTACTTCTCATATAATTACAAAGAAATGGCAAATTACATAGTGATTTAACCATGAGACTGTGAAGTAAAAAAGCTGAAATAGAATTTTATTTTTTAAAGATTGTTTTACCAGTTTGTCATTGGTGAAAAAAAAAACATATAAATAATGCTGTTATGTAAAAATTAAATGCATAATAATAATAATAATAATAATAATAATAATAATGTGGATTATAAATTGATATATTAGTAGTAGTATTACTTGTTTTAAGTTTTAGAATGAAAAGGTTTATGAATGTTTAAAAATATAATGCAAGAACAACATTAACAATAGTAAACAAAGCTATTTATATTAAAGTATTTATTTTATTATGTATTAATTACAATTGTAAAACATACTTCAACACTCTTTCTCTTTTATTTTCTTTTATTTATTTTTTTACAGTGTTATTGGTGAAATATATATATTTTTAAGGATTCAAATTTTAGTGTGAAAAAAAAAATTATTATTATTATTATAATTATTATTAGTAGTAGTAGCAGTATTATTATTATTATTATGTGTCACACGCAATAACGTACGAAGATATTAGTCATTCTGCCAGGCGAAGCAGAGACAATGTCTCTGTGTTATTTCAGACATATTTATTGAGACATATTTATTTAAATAAATGCCATTCTTTAAATTAATTGTTTTATAAATTATTATTTTTGTTGGTGGTGCTGGACATCTTTGATGTGTTTTAATTGACTCATCAACTGTCAGACATTTAAAGACATTCACCCATCCACCAACACAAACACATATAAACACTTATTGATTTATTGATCTGCTCTCTTCACCTAGAATGGGCTGCTGTCTTCCCGTTACATCCTTCCTTTCACTGTGCCATTTACTGTCGACAGAGTCTTCTCCTCTTCTTCAAGGTGTCTTTGAGACGGCCTCTGTTAAAACCACCAGATGAGCGGTAAGTCAAGCCAAAATCTGAGCAGTTATGCTTTCATTTCTCCCATAGTAAAGCGTGGACATATGGCCATTGGTTATGGGAGATTGGTACCTGTTCCAAGTCTGCCTGTTAAATGTGAAGAAAGCACGAAGCAGTCAGTTAGCTGACAGACATTGGGTCAATGGTGAGGTTATTTTCAGTAGTTTCATGCAGACAGACCAAAGAGAGCACACATTAACTGCAGACCATCTGAAACATTTTAAACTGATTGACAAAGCGTGTAAAATTCAGTCCCACGCTGTAGACAAGCTAACACTTCAAACACACCTTCAGATTGAGTTTTCAGAGTCTTAAACGTCTTTTTCAGCAAACTCTCATTTGACATTGAGACGATGTAATCATGAGAACTTTACAGCAGTAAAAGTTTTGTCATCGTTTTGAGAATAACAAGCCATGTGATCATTTGTGTCTGTAAATGCAGCAGGAAACAGTGTAAATCTTTCTTTCCGCGCCACACACTACTGTAGAGGATCATTTAGGAAGTGGCGTCTGCTTGGCAACAACGCCAACTCTCTCACGCTAAAGGATGTGCTGAGAGCCATATCCTGTGTCTTTCCTAATCAAAGAAAAGCATTTCACGCTCTCTGTCATTTCCTCTGGTGGAGCTTCTCTCTCTGGACCAGAGTAAATATAACCTGTCTGACAGAAATACACTGCTATCTCAACCGCTGGAGAATTCATGTCTGCTCGTGCGACAAGGATAAATCTAGTCGCGGTGAAATGAATTGTGCAGTTCTGTCCAATGCATCAAATGGCCCTTTTTTAAGATCCTGGGCTTGACAAATGTAATTGTCAAGTGTCTTTTTATACATCAATATTGAACCAAGTTTTCTACATAGCTTTGTCCTTTATGTCAATTTATTTGCTTATTTGGTCCATGCATACTATATCAGAAGCATTAGTTGACCAACAAATTTGCATGATTATATATCATTAAAAATGTTTAATCTAATCAAATTATTATTATTATTATTATTATTACACTATATTATAATAGACAATAATATTTTTTATTTTGCATTAATAAATTATGTTTTCATATTTATATAAATATTTGATATGTTTAATTAAATATTTATACAGTATATATATATATATATATAATTATTTGACCAACAATTTTAGTGCAATATTCCTATAAAATGTAATAAATTACAAGCGGCAGATCTGTAAGTTTGCATTTACACTCCAAGACTTATCTGTTATCACAGATCTATTCTGACATACAGTTTCAGTTTTTTTCCTATCTGTTGCTGTGGTTATCACTGTCAGTTATCACAGATGTGGATTCAATCCACCATTTAAATAAGGTTGTCAATCCAGAAACATTGCAATGTGCAGTTATCACCATTACAAACCCCCGTTATAATCATGAGGAGCCACAGAGGAAGAGAGCTTATTTCTCTCAGCACCACGCAGGAAGTCCCGGCCGCTCTGACGTCAATCAGGGAGGCTCTCCTCACCGATTGGCTGCTTCTTACTCTCCTGAGTGCCCGGGGACGATGCCAGTGGGACAGGAAGTTGGTGTAGGTGGAGTGAAGTTGCCCAAAGCTCACGGGTTCGACACAGAGCTAAAAGCACTCAAGGCCAACAAACGTGCCCATGTGCCTGAGTCCACATCCTCCCTGGAAACGCTACCTTTCTCAGCCACTTCCTCTTTTTTACATGCCATTAATATTTTCAGTGGGAAAAAGTCAAAAAATACTTTCAAATTCCCAACCTTTTGAGAATGTTAGCCATTCATACCCTTTACAATGCCCTATAATGTATTTCACCGGCAAATGTCTGTGAGTTTGCATTGTAACATTTTTACTCACTGCTGTGTTTTTTTCTTTGTTGACAGGTTTGATTTGCTGTCTGCACTGCACTGTCTGCATAGATGTGATGCTTTGTGGACAAGAGCATCTGCTTCATGCCTTGAATGTAAATGTAAATTAAACTTACAAAATCAAATCCAAACAAGGCTTTTATGCATACAGACTGACATGCAGGTTTGTGTATTAAGTTTTATTTTTGCAGTAGATAAATACAGATAGCAGATGCTTAAACATTTATTCTTGTGTGTATATTCTTCCGTTTGGCAAAAACCTGCATTAGCATTTGGATTATACAGTATTTGTTGTCATCAAATGCAAGACTCAGAATGCATAAGCAATGGATATAACTGATACGACACATTCCCTGCTTTTAATATCTGAACAATTAATGCAACAGGATACAGCTGATCACTCAGAAAGACCTGTGAGGCAACTGTTCCAATACTTATGCTCACATCAGATAGGAGGGATGAAACTCTAAAAGTGCTGATCTTCTTAGCTGGTAAAACATCCGTGTGTTTCACCCAATAATAAAATGTGACATTCTCTAGTTTTGTCTCATATTCATCTTTTAACCATATTTACTGATTTCTTGACTCCACATCAAACAGAGCAATTTTGTCTTTACTGTGTCGATACTTATGGAGGGCACTGTATATATACACTGCCTTTCTAACGTTTGGGATCAGTAAGGTTTTTAATGATTTTTAAAGAAGTTTCTAATGCTCATCAAGGCTGTATCTATTCGATCATAAATACAGGAAAAAAAAACTGTAATTTTGTGAAATATTATTGCAATTTAAAATAACAGTTTTCTATTTTTATATACTTAAAAAAATAATTTATTCCTGTGAAGCAAAGCTGAATTTCAGTATCATTACTCCAGTCTTCAGTGTCACATCATCCTTCAGAAATCATTCTAATATGCTGATTTATAATCAATTTTGGAAACAGTTGTGCTGCTTAATATTTTTTTTGGAACCTGTGATACTTTTCAGGATTCTTTGAAAAAGTTAAAAAGTACAATGTTTATTCAAAATAGAAATTTTGTGTTACACTATTTACAATATACACTATTATTCAAAGGTTTGGGGTCAGTCTTTTTTTTTTCTTTCTTTCTTTTTTAAGAAATTAATACTTTTATTCAGCAAGGATGTGTTAAATGGATAAAAAAGTATATAATAAAAAGTGTATAAGAATGATTTCTGAAGGATCATGAGACATTGAAGACTGGAGTAATGGCTAATGAAAATTCAGCGCTGCGTCACATAAATAAATTATATTTCAAAGTATATTAGAATAGGAAACGAATATTAGAAATTGCAATAATATTTCACAATGTTACTGTTTTTTCTGTATTTTTTATCAAATAAATACAGCCTTGATGAGCATAAGAGACTCCATTAAAAAATATAAAAAATCATATTGATCCCAAACTTTTGAACAGCAGTGAATATATACAGACAGACAGATAGATAGATAGATAGATAGATAGATAGATAGATAAATATACTTATATGAGAAATAGATATAGATATACAAAAATACATTTTAACATACAAATAGAAAAAGTGTAATAATATATTTTTTACAATATTATTGTAATTTTACAATATTACTGTTTTTATAGAATGCAGCCTTGGTCTTGCAGGCTTCTTTCATAAGCATTAAAAAAATCATACCGACACCAACATTTTGAACAGTAGTGTAAGTGAGTTTGCCAAAAAAACATTTGTTTGAAAGGTAATAGCACGTCTCCTCAACAATCTGTGCACTTTAAAATATTTGCCTGAACTGCAAAGTTCCAAGCTGATGTTTAATACTTAAGAATTAGGAATACGTTTAAATCTCTAACCCTATTGTGTGTATGAGCAATAATAATAAAGATTCTTGCTTTAGCCAAGACTACTAATAATCTATATGTTAATTATGATTTTCATTCAACTAGGCTGGTGCATGTGGCAACAAATGTGAATCCATCTCTTCATACAGAAGCAGAGTTAAAGGTCAGACATTCAGCTGACACTCTGTCACACACACACACACACACACACACATATACTGCCCTGAGTGTGATGCGTCAGGGGTCGCTGGTTCTATTACTAAGGGTACATGAGGGGACGACACTGAGGAGGATGAGGATATGCACCAAAGATGCTTCAATTCCCCTGTCTCTCGCTCTTTTTCTCTCTCTCAGACCCTCAGGCTATGATCACCCTCTCCATCCCCTTCCCATCATTGCCAACACAGCCGTCTACGTCACTGCTCTGTCTGTCTGTGTGTGTGTGTGTGTGTGGTGGGCGAGGGGTTGCAGAGAGGCATGTTGGTCCGTCAGCTCTGCTGGTGTCCCGGGGCTCGCACCAGGTGTTCACACTTGTGCTAATGAAAGGGAAAAGAGCAGGCGAGACAGGGAGAGCAGCCAAACTGAATGAGCTCCGGCTCTGCTTCGGCATTAACATCTCTATTAAACGCTAGCCAACATCTGCTACCGCTGAACAGGCAAACACCGTTCACTTACTCACCCTGCTGTGAGCGATCTGCCGTGTGTTTGTCTCTATCTTGACTGAAAGGCAATCCATTAGTCATTTGTCACTTTTGCCTGGAAGTAAAAGATATGTAAGCAAGTTGAGCCGCTATGCATGGTGGCATTGCCTCTTATGTTATAATGTGTGTACTAAATTTGTTAAAGAACTTTTTGACAACACAGTTCTCTATTCCTTGTGAAAAAAAGAAGTGTGCTTAATTGTATTTAATGTGCACTTGTAGTGTACTGCAAATATTAAAAGTGTACTTCTTCAAAAAAAAAAAACTGTGCTAGCAGATAATATAATATTAATGTAATAAAAGGCCACTTAGATGTACTTAAAAAAGGTACACTTTCATGAGTGTTTATTGACAAGCATTTTAAAAAGTTCACTGACTGATGTACTGCAGCACATGTACTATAATTTAACTGTAGTGTGTTATTCAGTGTTATTTTGAATTATATTTTAAATGTACTAAATTACAACCAGTTGGGTGTTGTCAGGATCATGGGCTGTGTCCGAAATCGCCCCCTATACCCTTAAATAGGGCACTATTTGAGGGAACAGCCATTATTAGCTAGAACCACCAGCTACCCAGACGACGCGCTCTGCTCATTCTATGACGTGAGCTTGAACACCGCGAGCGTCGTCATCCGAAGATGGTCCTCGAGAGGATTTTGCCGCCTTCGTGGAGTGGACTCTGGCGAGAAACGGATCGCCATCCACCACCTGCCCCATGGATGATCTCGCCAGATCCACTCCAGACCCAGTGCCCAGCCCACCATCTCCCCGCGGTGCGAAGCATCAGCCCGAGCCCACCGATGACGGAGAGCCCATCACCGCCGCGATCAACGAGCCAGCGCAATGCCGAGCGACTGAGCGTGGAGCCCTGGATGTGGAGCCCCACCCGTCAGACCAGGGGTGAGAGCCGGCGACAGTGCCCACCGCGAGGGAGCAAGCTGTGGACGGTGAGAGCGGGGAGTGGAGCTCCGCCCACTGCACCGCGGCTGAGGGTGAGCTAATTATACATCTGGAACTGCTGGACTTAGAAGGGGACCTGATAGACTGGGAAACAGATCTGGAGGTCGTGCATTACTATAGTAAGTTACTGTAATTTAATTTTCTTTTCCCTTGAAATAAGTAAAGTAAGGGATTACTCTTAATTTTTCTGTAATTTAATTAGTTACTTCTGATGTAATTGCATTAAATATATAGAATATAGAACAATTCAATAGTGTATTTAACATCAAAATGTAACATCTAATGTTAAAATGTAGTGTATATTTTTAATGTAACCTTCTCCCTTAAAAAAAACGTTGGTCAGTTCAAGAATAATTTCTGCAATTTTATATTTGAAAATATTAAAAGAGCATTTGCGTGTCTATCCTTGTATTGTTCAACTGTATGAGGTTAATGTGGGTTTTAGAAAGTAATTAGTAATAAGTTATGCAATACTTTTTAGAGCGAGTAATTAGTACCATATTGTAATTGCAATGTTGACGATGTAATTAGTAGCTAGTAATGAATTGCTTATTTAGAGCAACTTACCCAATAATGATTGCAATATCATTACAAATGTTTAATTAAAAATATATTTAAATAAATGACATACAAGTTTCATTAGAATTGACATGATATATTATTGTTGTTGTTATATTTGTAAGTACCAAAAATGCTTGTCAGTGCATTCGGTAATATACTATAACAGTAAGACAATAGAAGTAATTATGAAATTGCATTGAAAAATGTACTTAAGTAAAAAAATTAAATAAATAAATAAATTTCAGCTTATTGCATTTCATGTAAATTATAACTATTATACATTTTCAATTATATGTCCGAAAACATCACATTTAGTTTGCACTTAAGTATATTATTCTAAAATATATTATTATTTCTGTTATACTGTACTTTTTTTTTTTTTTTTATTCAATGCCTTATAGGATAGTGTAATCGACTGATTGCACACTTCAAAATCAGATGCAGTGCATCATATGTCTCACAAATATTGAGTTTTTGTAAATCCTGCTCAATTGATTTGTTGCTTTTTGCATACTGTGTTGCAGGAAAGTGTATTCAGATGTAGGATCAGTGCCCTCATTAGGAAGGTCTTCATCACCTAAACAGTTGAGTATGAGTGTGCGAGCGAAAGCGAGTGAAACCGAGAAAGATGAAGGAAGAGTGCATCCCAGACTGGGACTTCATCCATCATTGGAATCAGCATGTGCTGTAATTACTGTGTCAAATAGATGGGAAGATGCCTTTGAGGAGGATGGCGGCTATGTGTGTGTGCGTACGCTTGTGCATCTCCCTCCTGATCATTTTCCTCTCCCGAGTCACTTCCTCCTGCACTGTCATCTGTCATGCCTACATATGCTGTCACCGAGTGCTGGCAGCTCTGGCCAATCCCTCCACTGCAGAAACAGCGGGATTTTATGCGTGCTGAAGGTTATATATCACATCAGTCGATGAGAAGGCTATACATTAGGGAAGACTGATGCGATTAGGTAGAGACAGCTATTCCACAACACAGCTGTAACCTTTTATCAGCACAAAATATTGTCAGTGCTCACAGCGCAGCACTGGCCTTAGATCAGAAGCTGGAAGGTGTTCATTTACGTTAAAGTGTTAGTCGGAGCCATAGCCTAGCAGATAGCAAACACTGAGCCGGTGCAGGACACATGCAATTTGCTTTATTTTGATCTATTTTCCTTAAAATGTTAATTATCACAAAACTAGCATAGCAACATGATAAAATTACATTAGCAACCATCTAGAACACTCTAGCAACAGCACAGCAATGTGATAAATCTACTTTGGTACTACTCAGCAACCACCTAGAACACCAGCATAACAGCATAGCCATACGCTAAAACAACATTGACAACCATCTAAAACACACTAGCAACAGCACAGCAACATGTTAAAACAACATTAGCAACCATCTAGAACACCCTAGCAACAGCATAGCAACATGTTAAAACTAGATTAGCAACCATCTAGAACACCCTAGCAACAGCATAGCAACATGTTAAAACTAGATTAGCAACCATCTAGAGCACCCTAGCGACAGCATAGCAACATGTTAAAACAACATTAGCAACCATCTAGAAAACCCTAGCAACTGCATAGCAATGCACTAAAATTACATTAGCAACCATCTAAAACACACTAGCAACAGCATAGCAACATGTTAAAACTAGATTAGCAACCATCTAGAACACCCTAGCAACATGTTAAAACTAGATTAGCAACCATCTAAAACACCCTAGCAACTGCATAGCAATGCACTAAAACTACATTAGCAACCATCTAAAACACCCTAGCAACATATTAAAACTAGATTAACAACATTCTAGAACACCCTAGCAACAGCATACCAACATATTAAATCTACATTAAATTTGTTTGAACATCCTGAACATCCAATAATCTAGAAAATCCTAGCAACTGCATAGCAATGTGATAAATCTACTTTGGTTACCACTCAGCAACCACCTAGAATACCATCGCAACAGCATAGCAACAAGCTAAAACAATATTTAAAAACCATGTAAGACACCCTAGCAACAGCAGAGCAATGTGGTAAAACTAGATTAGCAACAATTTAACAACAATTTAGAACACCCTAGCAACTGAATAGCAATGCACTAAAACTACATTAGCAACCATCTAATGCACCCTAGCGACAGCATAGCAACATGTAAAAAATAGATTAGCAACCACTTAACAATAATCTAGAAAACATAGCAGCGTAACAACATGTTAACAACATTAGCAACCATCTAGAACACCCTAGTGACAGCATAACAACACGTTAAAACTAGCAAACACTTAACGACAATCTAGAACACCCTATCGGCTGCATAGCAACATGCTAAAACTACATCAGCAACCATCTAGAACACCCAAACAACAGTATAGCAACGTAAAAAAAAAAATTTGATTAGCAACCACTTAACAATAATCTAGAACACCCTAGCAACTGCACAGCAACAAGTTAACAACATTGACAACCATCAAGAACACCCTAGCAACAGCATAGCAACATGATCAAATGACATACATCAATATATAACAAAATTACAATAGCATAGCAACCTGTTAACAACATTAGAAACCATCTAAAACACACCAGCAACAGCACAGCAACATATAAAAACTAGATTAGCAACCACTTAACAATTATCTAGAATACCCTAGCAACCGCATAGCAACATGTTAACAACATTAGCAACCATCTAGAACACCCTAGCAACAGCATAGTAAAATGCTAAAATGACATTACATCAAGCTAGATCACCCTAATGACAGTATAGCAACATGTTAAAACAACATTAGCAACCATCTAAAACACCCTAGTGACAGCATCAACGTGTTAAAACTAACAACCACTTAACAACAATCTAGAACAATCTAGAACACTATAGCAACAGCAAAGCAATTGCGAAAACAACATTAGCAACCATCTAGAAAACCCTAGTGATAGCAGAGCAATGTGTTAAAACTAGATTAGCAACCACTTAATATTCTAGAACGTGTTGAAACTACTTAGCAACCATCTGGAACACCTTAGCAACAGCATAACAATGCACTAATGATTTTTACCCAGAACACCCTAGCAACAGCTTAGCAACACACTTAAATCTATTTGGAGCATCTATATAGTGACTTCCGCAAAACATTTTTCTTTTAAGAAAATGTACAAATCTAGTTTAGACTATTGATGCTAAATATTCTTTACAAATGCTTTTCTCTTTCTCAGATGTTATAATGAATCGTGTGTTTGTTTATGAAAGACCTGATCCGCATTGAGGTAGTTGTGCCGTGTTTGTTGTAAGCGTGTTGAGTGTGTAGCAGCAGTAATGACAGAGCTCATGTGTTGATGGAGTGTATAAAGCAGTGATGTGTGTGAGACGTGTTTCTCCTCCCTCACATGAGCAGAGAGTCTCTGGGCCATATGGCTCAGCTGGAGCTACCAGGAGTGCCCAGGCGAAACCATGAGGTGGAAACGGTTTACTCGCTCGACTGATTCAGCGTGCTATCAAATAACTCCTTCCTCCACCCCCAACTCCGCCGGCCTATACTCGCCTGGACTGTGTTACAGGAAAAACTGGTAAAAGCATTTGACCCGGCGCTGGCCGCTGTATCCTCCATCCGGATGAGACCGTCTCGTAAAAACACAAAGCAGGGTGAGCCGTGGGGAGAGAGGGAGTGCTAGGGTTTGTGTGTTTCATGAGGAAGAAGCTATTAATTGGCTCAATATAATCAAATGTGAGGTATCTAAATGTTTGTGAGGATTAATACATCTTTGGCTGGCTATGAGAGGTGTCAGATGAGGCTAGTTTTAAAGATCATAAGGTTGTGTCCCTGGAGAAATCAGTGATCGGAATGGATAGGCAAGAGAGGAAACAGTTTGGAGTAGCTCTCGTGTATTGCTACACAAATTCATAGACTTTTACTGTATAATGAAGAAGTGTGTGAAATTCAACTTCTGAATATGTACTGTAACAAGACTGTATGCCAGTATTGTGACATACACTACTATTTATAAGTTTGGGGTCTGTAAGATTACCTATTTATTTATTGTTTGTTTGTTTGTTTGTTTGAAAGAATGCTTTGAAATAAATTAATACTTTTATTCAGCAAGGATGTATGAAATTGATCAAAAGTGGCAGTAAAGACATTTGTAATGTTACAATTTCAAATAAATGCTGTTATTTTGAAATGCACTAATTGGAATGCAAATAATTTGGCACTATTTTCATTATACTATACTGATTTGAAATGCACTAGTTGTAATCTTGCAAACGGTTTAACATGGGTAGTGCACAAATTGTAAAACCCTTGTGTTTGTTTAGTGCATTTGTAGGCCGAATCAGCTACTGTGACAACATCAAGAGATCCCTTCCCCAATAATAGTTAATCTCATTGATGGGACTGTAAACTGGAAATCAGGTTTCAGTGGTTGTTTTTTGGTACTAGCTGGTCACATCTGGTTATTAGCTAGTTCACCAGCCACAGTGGCTTGTCGGTTGCAAGTCTAACATGGTCTGCTAGCTTGGACCAGCCAATGGCATTCATAGACCAGCTCGAAAAATAGCTCCAGTAATACTGTCTTTGAAATACCTATTTTTTCCCCTCCTAGACAGTTTGTAATCCTCCATACACATACTTTCCCAATCTCGTGCGGTCACATTTTGGTGAGTTACACTAACAGGTTTTGTGCTTTCAGTGCTGTTGCAGCCGCAGGTTTATTAGGAAGTGGCAGCTCTCATGGGCTATTAGGAGTGTGTAACATTCGGTGCCATATGCTAGCTGAGTGTTCAGGAACAGAAACGAGCCGCTGTGTGGCTAAATGTAACGAACATTTTGGCAGTTAATTACCACGGTGACATCTATAACCAAGACTGGACGACAGACGCCAAAGACAAAGAGACGAGACTCGTGAGACCAATAAAGGGAAGGTAAAACGTTCATATAATGTTTGCATTTTGGTTCAAATTTACCATATGTTGTTGCTGCAAATATTTAAATCCATTCCTTCCTAAACTCTTCCCATCTAAATGAATGCCATGTGTGAAGGATTCAACCATTCTGAATTGCATCACAGCGCCAATTCTGCTCAGGTAATTGGTTTGCGTGCTCAGCTTCCGAACCCGAACTATACGCTGATACTTCGCCCAGAAGTACTACAAGAGTGGAATGAAACGCCTTTCTTCCCTTCCTCCATTGCGGATATACAAAGCACACATGTCGTCCAGAGAGCCGGAGGGTTATTTTAAGCAGCCTCTGGCTGAGTGGCGTGCGTCGGGTAATCAGCATGCAGGGAGAGGTAATTTAAAGATGTCTCGTAGCTGACAAGAATTAAATTGTATTTTGATTTTCTCATTAGCCTAATCTCAAGTGGGCCTCGTTATTGTGTAATTTTCAGGCGTTGACACGACATCTTGTTTTGGGAGCTGACAGCCTTATGCTGTCGGGGAAGCGGAGGGGGTATCAAGCTTGAGCTCGGAGGACACTGATTGGTCCCCTCCCCTGGAGTCGATATGAGTGGGGATGTTATATATCGACACCTGGGGCGTGGCTGGGGAGGGGGGACGTGACTGGCATGGGCCTCTCAGATGCATCTTTCAATGTCACTTTGTTTTTGAGATGCCATCACTTTTACAACAGAGTAAATTAGCTTTTCAGGGTCCTGGCGTTTCTCTCTGGGAGGCTGTCGGATCTTCTGTCATTCCACTCGCTCTGACACCGGCTTCATATCCCAGCGCCGCCGGTCCTCCGTGCGTCCGCTGAATCCGATAAGACTGGCGGCCTCTAACGAAGCACGTCCCTCCGTGAACACACACTGACATTTCGAACTTTTCAGATGCGCTTGATCGTTTTCGCCTAACGGTGAAAATCTGGCACATTTCTTAATGGGAAGCCGTGTCGAAGTCCTCCGGGGCCGATCTGTTTGTTTATGCTCTGATATACTGATTGTGTATATATATTGTAGCAAAATAATTTTTTGTTCTTCACTTAGGGATAAAAAGAAGTTTGAAAAAAAAAAACAGTATACTGTTAAAGGGATAGTACACTAAAAAATAAAAATTCTGTCATTATTTACTCACCCTCATGTCGTTCCAAACCCGTAAGACCTTCATTCATCTTTGGGACACAAATTAAGATATTTTTGATAAAATCCGAGAGATTTCTGACACTCCATCAACAGCAATGTAACTGAAATGTTCCCAGGCCCAGAAATGTAGTAAAGGACATCATTTAAATAGTCCATGTGACATCTGTGGTTCAACCATAATGTTACGAAGCTACGAGAATACTTTTTGTGTGCAAAGAAATAATTACTTCATTCAACAATTCTTCTCTGCATCACCGTCCGCCGGCATTATCGAGAGTACCACGACACATGCGCTGCGCCTTGTTTACAAGCAGAGGAATGCACACGTATGCGTCGTGGTACTCTATTGAACGTGTCGAATTCTAACACGAAAGAGAAGAAATTGTTGAATAAAGTCGTTATTTTTGTTTTCTTTGTGCACAAAAAGTATTTTCGTAGCTTTATAACATTAAGGTTGAACCACTGATGTCACATGGACTATTTTATCTATATCTTTACTACCTTTCTGGTCCTGGGAACATTTTAGTTCCGTTTCTGTCTATGGAGGGTCAGAAAGCTCTCGGATTTCATCCAAAAAAATCTGTTTGTGTTCCGCAGATAAATGAAGGACTTACGGGTTTGGAACGGCACTTTAAATGTGAAAAAAACAGCATCAGTGTCATTTTTCAGTTAATTTTCACTCATGTCTGACCTCAACAGACAAAACATAAGAAATTAACTGGAGAGGATTTCCATGTCAAAGAAGGCAGAGCCCCAGAGCACACCTACCTAAAATGGACCAATGGTAATTCAAAGTGTTTTCAATTGTTAGGAAAGTTTGCTTGGAAACTTTTTCGAACTTCTGAAATGAACTCCAAACGACCTTTGTTTTGGCCTGATTTTATTCAAAATTACGTCACACCAGCTTGGTCTTTAATTTTGCTTCAAGTATACCAGGGTTTAACCCTTGTGCTGTGCTGAAAATCCTTTGCCTAATTGGTGTTCCTGATAAAAAATAACAGGCATGTAAATTGCTTTTAAATCTCTCATTATGCTATATTACCACCAAACCTTGGACTCAATCTTTTTGGAAACTTTACTTTACCTGTTCTTTCAACTAGCAAAGGTTTTGTATTTCTTTTTGGAACTGAATGATCATAGGCCTCTAAACACTGTTCAGTCAAAATCTGAGGTGCATAAACTCAGATCAATGAGGCCTATGATCAGTACCAAATATCAGACCTTTGCTATTCCAGTATTTCAATATTTGGTAATAATATAGTATAACAAGAAATGTATAAACAATTTTTTTTACAGGCTGGTCAGTTTTGACCAAGAACTCTACAAGTATAATATTGGGATCCCCAAAAATTATCAAAAATATTATTTTCTGGAAAAAGAAAATCCTTTCTAGGTCAAAATGACCACAACACAATAGGGTTAAGTTGGCTAGTTTGCTTTTCATCTGGATTGTAAGATTTCAGATGTTCCCCTTCTCACAGAATCGCCACTGTAAACTTCTGGTGAGGTCACAGCCTCCTATTAAATGGAAGAAGATAAGAAGGTAACGTCTCAGTCCAGCACTGAAGCTGTTCCCATAAACCACCTAAAAAGAGTAAGAAAGGGTGCATTGCACCCAATTTATCGATACATTTTGAAAAATATTATCTAGACTTTTAGTTCTATTATATAGAACTTTTAGTTTAACATAGGCATTTCTGCTGAAATCTGAGTGTATCTATTGCATAGTTTCACCCAGCATTCTCTCTGATGTGTTTTTATTGGCTGTCACATTTTTGACAGCAGAGATAAATCATCTTCCCTAATATCTTGGATTCTCTCCCTGGTTTTGCTTTCTGTTGCCAGTCTTTAGCAAGCCAAATGTGAACAATGTGACCCCAGCTCAGCTCCCTACACCTGTTGTGCTGAATCCTGTGCTGAGACAGGTATAATGGGCTTCATTTCAAAGCAGAGACACAAGCATTTAAAGGTATCTTAAGCACCAAACACCAAAAGGTAGGCTGGAATGTTATGCTGCTTTTCAAGGTGTTTTGTCCAAAAGTTTGGAGTCAGTGAGATTGTTATTATTCTTTGAAATAAATTATTATTATTATTATTATTATTATTATTATTATTATTATATTTGGTAATAATATAGCATAAGAAATTTATAAGCAATTTTTTTTTATCGGCTCCACATTTTTGACCAAGAACACCACAGGTATAATATGGTGGGATCCCCAAAAAGTACAAGTTTGTAATCAGTAAGATTTTTATTATTTTTTGAAAGAAATTAGTGGCAGTAGTAGTATAAGGATACATTAAATTGATCAAAAGTTACAGTAAAGACATATATAATGTTACAATGATTTATCATAAGTGTTAAAATTTCTATTTCAAATAAATTCTAAAAATATTAAGCAGCACAACCATTTTCATCAATGATAATAATAAGTAATGTTCCTTGAGACCAAATCAATACTGTGAGTGATGGCTGCTGAAAATTCAGCTTTACAATCACAGTAATTAGATCTGTTTAAAAATATATTAAATAGAAAATGTATTTTTAATTGTAATAATATTTCACAGTAATTCTGTTTTTACCGTATTTTTAATCAAATAAATGCAGCCTTGGTGAGCTAAGTAACTTCCAAAAAAAAGTATTCAAATATCCTAACGACCACAAACTTTTGATCAGTAGTGTAGTTTTTTAAATTCTAAAATGTGCCCGTACAGACATTTCACACGTATAAATATTTAACTAATTAAAAGTTTATTGTTTTACCCAGTATTTGTATGTGCAATTTATTACGGTGTTTACCAGAGTAATGCATTGTTTGCTTAGTAATATTCTAAAATAAAACTCTTTTGGAAGTATAAATAATAGTGACTCTTCTATTTACTTCGACTACACTTAGAAAAGAAACTATAGGCCTACTAGAAGGTAAATCTTCATCCAGGACATTTTTTTTTAGAGATTCGAACCTGATGTTTTGATCCTTTATGTGTTTTTCCTGTTTGATTATAATCTGGTACCTTGAAAGTGTATGCTAGTGTATTACATAAGAGCCATGCAGCAAGTCTTTGTCTCATTCACAGGAAACATTGACTTTGAACACTTTACGGTTATTGTGTTGCGGTGACTCTTATAGGCTCTTATAATTCGGAAAGGTACTCTTGAGGTCTATTAGCACCAGTCAGTATTACGTAAAAGCCCGAACCAAACAAAGGCTCATCAATAAAACAATACCACTACATAAACAATGGAAGGGCTTCAGTGCTCAGACGCGACGCTCCATAACCTTGGTTCCCACACCTCAACACCAGGAGCCACAAACGGCGCGTCATCATGCTAGTTGCGCATGGAAGGGTTTTATGTCGGCGAGTCTATCGCATGATGACAGCTTCCTGTTTGAATAAGGGATGTGCTAATTTCCCAGAGTTCCTGCAGCGTCCGTGGTTTTTCACGACACGCACGGACTTCAGCCGGTCGCTCATTTGTCACATTGGCAC